GGAAGGTGAGGGACTAGGGGGTGGATTAGGGGTGGAGTTTCTAACCACGCCAGCATGGGCATTGGAGCCCTGAGTACCACTCCACTATGACCTGTTATGACAGGGATCAGGGCTTTATGCTGAGTGGGTTACTGCTGCAATCCATAGTTTGAACTGACAGGGCAGACCTTGTTAATGTTGTTTAGATAAGGTGGGGGGTGGGCTGATAGGGAAACATACCCACTACAAGGCCAAAGATTTCTAGTATAAGTTGGTAATGATTGTTACAGGAGTCGTCTCTGATACCCATGGTATTTTSTTGTCAGGGACAGATGTTACAGTTTATTCATTTTGTTCATTGCTGCATGAGTGGCTATATGTGTCTCATCTTTCACAGGACTGTGAAACAGCTCAGTGTCCCAGCAGTCACCCAGTTCCCCCAGGAACTAAAGTCCCTTCTCACCAGGGCCTCAAAACCCAGTGGCGCTTTGGTTCCTGGGCTCAGGTTGGTTCACACGTTTTTTTTATTTTTATTTTATTTTTTCACCTAAACAGTTTTAGTTCACTGTTTCCGGTGTCGTAACATTTCACTTCTTACAGTGTAGCGCCAGCTGTGGCAAAGGGACGAGGATGCGCTTCGTGAGCTGCCGTGACAACCATGGYGGTGTTGCAGAGGAGTCGGCATGCGCTCACTTGCCAAAACCCCCCGCCATGGAGGTTTGCTCGGTAGTAGCTTGTGGGCAGTGGAAAGTGCTGGAATGGACACCGGTAAGAAAAGACACACGTTGCGCTATATTTGTCTACATAAATATCTTACCTGTTGCCGTTAGTCTCTTGAATGACCTCATTTTGGAGGAGTAGAGTATAATTTACACTGGATTGGGCCAACCAGGGCCTGGCTTCAAACCTGGACTCAGCATGTTTGCAATAGCTCGTATGACCCAGTTCCACCCCATTTCTGGAAACCCCAGAACCATGGTTCTTTCCGGGCCAGGCGGCTCATCTTGATTTGATGTCAGTTACTGCTGCTCATTGATTGGTTCACTGACTGGGGGAGTCACGTCACGCAGATGAGAGTAACTTACGTGCATTGTTTGAAACAACTGTAACGTTTTTTTCACACGAGTTGAACTACAAAACAACTGTAGCAAGCTAGCACACAACAAGCTAACATTAGCTTAGCATCCTCTGTCTCCCTGCACTCTCGACTTAAGCATCATAATAGAGTTGAGTGGTCTTCAGTCACTTTTTTTACACTTGTTTACACTTGAATAGCCTTTAATACATTAACTCCAAGTTTAGTGTAGTCCATTAACATTGTGTTGCAAATAAAACAAAATAAGATTATAATCCCGCCCATATCCAGGCAGCTCTCTGCTCAATGCAAACACAACCAGAGCCGGGGTAGAGGAAGGCCAGGCCTAATGGAGCGGGGCTTTACGATGCAAAAATGTCTAGAGTAAGACAAAGACCAAATTGCTGCTGTCAACTCTAATTTCAATATTTAATAACACTTCATACAAACTTTTTCATTTCAGCCAGTTTTGTATTACAAAGCCGTTTGCGTAGAATTATGTGAGTACTGGCAAGTGCTAATAGCAGCAGCAACTAGCTGTAGCACTGCTGGCAAGATGATCGTAATAATTCTGCCTGAGTAACAACGCAATGGATAACTGAAAACTCTTTAATATTTTATATAATAACATTTCTGTGTCTAGCTGCATTTCCATTGACCATGAAAATGCGCAAATTAGAATTTTGAAAATATATTTGCTCAATGGAAACACGTCAATTTCGAAATAAATTACGTTTTTTGACAAAATGTTTTTGCACCAGGATGAGGTGGTTTTTCAGCCACAGCCACATCGAATGTATTTCACAAAACTGCAAGGGAAACACTTTTTTTGCATCATGAGAATCACGTGATCAACAACTGGCTGTTTCTACTGGTGAAAAAGACGATGAAGAAGAAGATAACAGGAAGTAAAAGTAGTACAAAAATCACAGAAGTAGTAAAAGAAAGTAAGTAAACTCACCGACTACAAATTCCCAAAAACGCAGCATACTGTACGTAGCCGCTCCCAAGTAGGGGCTTGTTGCTGGAAAGCCTCGATAAGACTCCGACGTCTCCTCTGATGATGAGCGCTAGTGTCGCGGTAGCAACATGCTATGTGTTTACATCCATTGCCGCCATGTTTGTAATGACTTATCGAGAGAACAAACGTATTCACGCGTGACGTTAATAGCATTTTTTACTTAATGGAAACACCGCAATTGCGAAACTGTGTTTTTCGACATTAACAGAATATCGACAAAGTTTTGTGCACGTTTGCAATGGAAACACAGCTACAAAACAATGACATTCTGCTTACAACATTAAGGTTCCAGGTTTAAAGCATGGCTGAAGTTTTCATGTGTGGAGTTTGCATGTYCTCCCTGAGCACTCAATTTCCTTAAAAAAAGTGCATTCTACTTAATAGTCTCTCTAGTTTGTGAATCCAGCCAAATTTAAACTTAGTTTCTCCAAACAGAAGAGRTATTGATAACATGTAAGAAATGAAATGTTCACAGCATTTCCACAGATCTGAACTATTAATCGTTGAATCAGTGAGAACTGCTGCTCAGAACTGTAGCACAGTAGCTCCACTTTAATGTTTCCTCACAGACTTATGTATTCTAGCTCACTTTAAGATAACTTTTTATCTTTGCTTCTGAATGTTTTTTCACACACTGTGTAAATGTTATTTTGAGCCAGAATGAT